GTTAAAAAGAAACGAGCAAACAAAAAAGAACATGGTCAGCTGGGCGCGGTGGCTCACGCCTGTAATCTCAATGCTTTGGGAGGCCAAGGTGGATGGATCACCTGAGGTCAGGAGTTCGAGACCAGCCTGGACAACATGGCGAAACCCTGTCTCTACTAAAAATACAAAAATCAGCCAGGTGTGGTGGCAGGCACCTGTAATCCCAGCTACTTGGGTGGTTGAAGCAGGAGACTCACTTGAACCCGGGAGGTGGAGGTTGCCGTGAGCCGAGATTGTGCCACTGCACTTCAGCCTGGGCAACAACAACAAAACTTGGTCTCAAAAACAAAAAAAAAAAAAAAGAAAGAAAACATGGTGGGTGCCATTGCAACAACCCACTAGGCACCGTTGCTCATGCCACCTTGCTGGACACCATCCCGCCAACCCAATGGGCACCAGCAGCTAGACTGTCAACCCTGAGCAGTAGGACCAGGACAACCCTACTAAGCACCATCATGCCAGTTCTTATTTTATTTTTTTAAGACAGGGTCTCACTGAGCGCGGTGGCTCATGCCTGTAATCCCAGCACTTTGGGAGGCTGCGGTGGGTGGATCACCTGAGGTTGGGAGTTCAAGACCGGCCTGACCAACATGGAGAAACCCTGTCTCTACTAAAAATATAAAATTAGCCGGGCGTGGTGGCTGTCACCTATAATCCCAGCTACTCAGGAGGCTGAGGCAGGAGAATCACTTGAACAGGAGGCAGAGGTTGCAGTGAGCTGGGATCGCACCACTGCACTCCAGCCTGGGTAACAAGAGCGAAACTCCGTCTCAAAAAAAAAAAAAAAAAACAGAGAGGGTGTCACTCTGTCTCCCAGGTTGGACTGCAGTGGCGCAATCTCAGCTCACTGCAGCCTCCACCTCCCAGACTCAAGCCATCCTCCCACCTCAGCCTCCCAAGTAGCTGGAACTACACGAGCACACCATCACACCTGGCTAATTCATTTGTACTTTGGTAGAGAAGAGCTTTCTCCATGTTTCAAGGGCTGGTCTTGAATTCCTGAGCTCAAGTGATCTGCCTACCTTGGCATCCCGAAGTGCTGGGATTACGGGCATGAGCCACTCTGCCCGGATCTAACCAGTAGGCATCATCATCCATCTTCACGCCAACTGCAGTGTCTGTCAACCACCACGCCAACCTCGCCAAGTAGCAACGGGCCAACTGCAGCTGGGTGTCATGTCAGCCAACCACAGGAGTTCCATACCGACCTTGCTGGACTCAGCCACCCCAAAACCCCAAACGTGGTGGACTCTGGGAGCCCCATTCCCCCGTCAAGACCCCACTCATCACCCAGCCCAGTTCCCAGGGTTCCCCGGGGTACCTTGGCTGTGGATTCTGCAGTGCCCCTGCGTCCCTGGTGGTCTCCTCTTGTGCCAGCAGCCTCCATGCTTCCTTTTCAGCTTCCTGCAGGTCACCCATGGGGGCTTCGGCTCCTGCTTCTGAGTCGGCCTCCCGCAGAGCAAGCAGGACCCTGTATGCCTCCTCACAATGCTCACTGTAGGACACTGGTTCTGAGTACTTTTGGACACTCAGCTCGGCTGGGAGCAGTGGCCCTCGCCTGTAGTCCCGGCACTTTGGGAGGCCAGAGCGGGAGGATCACCTGAAGTCAGGAGTTCAAGACCAGCCTGGCCAACATGGTGAAACCCTGTCTCTACTAAAAATATAAAGATTAGCCAGGCATGGTGGTACGCACTTGTAGTTCCAGCTACTCAGGAGGCTGAGGCACTAGAATCACTTGAACCCGGAGGCAGAGGTTGGAGCAAGCCAAGATCCCACCACTGCACTCCAGCCTGGGTGACACAGCAAGACTCCATCTCCAAAAAAAAAAAAAAAAAGAACACTCAGCTCCATCTCACCCTATAGGTGCCAGTCCCCACTTGCTCTTGAACCCTTCTCTTCTCCTCACTGCCCTCACCTCTGGAAGCATGCAGACTCCTTTAGCACCCCTGAACTGAAATTGCCTTAAATTAATTTCTGGGCTTGGCGTGGTGGCTCACACCAGTAATCCCAACACTTTGGGAGGCCGAGGTGGGTGGATCATGAGGTCAGGAGTTCAAGACCAGCCTGGTCAACATGGTGAAACTCCATCTCTACTAAAAACACAAAAATTAGCAGGCATGGTGGTGCTCGCCTGTAATCCCAGCTACTCAGGAGGCTGAGACATGAGAATCACTTGAACCCAGGAGGCAAAAGTTGGAGTGAGCTGAGATCTTGCCACTGCACTCCAGCCTGGGCGACAGAGCAAGACTCTGTCTCAAACCAAAACAAAAACAAAATAAATTTCTGAAGTGGTGGAAGGTGCTCTCCAGTGAGGGTCCTGTCACCCTCTGTGGATTGGGACCATCCTGAGAGAGCCCATTCCCTCCCCAGCTGGTGACATCACTGGCAGGGTGCACTGACCTGTACTGCAAGGCCAGTTGCAGTGCTGTGGCCTCAGCCTCCCGCTGACCTAGCTGCATGCTGAGGCTCTCACAATGGCCCTTGTATCCCTGGAGCACAGCCGATAGCAGACGGTTAAAGCATTTGAGCTTCTCAATGTTCCTGTCCGCACAGGTGGGGAAGAGGGAAAGTCAGAGGCCCTCTAAGGTAGTCAGGCCTCAATTTCCACCCTTTCCCTCCCTCCTGTTGCAGCTCCAGACTCTTTGTTTTATAACCCAGCTGGAGAATGTGCCTGTGCCCTTATGAGCTCAGCATTTGAGTCTCTTACCCCCGGAGTTGCTCCATGTGGGCTTCCATGATGTGCACCTCAGGACTGAGGGGCTGAGTGGGGAGAGGCCCAAGGATCTGGGTGCTAGAATGGCTGTGGAGGCGCTGAAGCAGGGGGTGAGCAAGAGAGAAGGAGTCCTGCCAAGAAGAGGTGATGTAATGGACCCCAGTTGTCACCAAGAGCCTGGGATTATAGGCATTTTCCAACCCCAGAAGCTGTTGGATCCCATGACCAAGATTTGAGTCTCATCCCCCTGAATGCTAAGGATATCAAGGACATCAAGACCATGGATTTGAACTTCTCATACTCACCTGAGTCTCCCAGGGTTCCCTGTCTGCCTCAGAGCTGCTAGAGCCACTGCCTGAGCCACCTGCTTGGCTGTGGGAAAGACGTGGGAAACGTTCCAGTCTCAAGAGGGAATCCTGCAGCTCCTGAACCTGGGAAGGGTGAGGGAGGATGTCAGGCCTAGGGGCTCAAACCAACCACCAGCCCTCCCTCCTCAAGGCCTGTTCTTAGCCGGGCGCGGTGGCTCACGCCTGTAATCCCAGCACTTTGGGAGGCCGAGGCGGGTGGATCACGAGGTCAAGAGATCGAGACCATCCTGGTCAACATGGTGAAACCCCGTCTCTATTAAAAATACAAAAAACATTAGCTGGGCATGGTGGCACGTGCCTGTAATCCCAGCTGCTCAGGAGGTTGAGGCAGGAGAATTGCCTGAGCCCAGGAGGCGGAGGTTGCGGTGAACCGAGATCGCGCCATTGCACTCCAGCCTGGGTAACAAGAGCGAAACTCCGTCTCAAAATAAAATAAAATAAAATAAAATAAAATAAACACACACACACACACACACACACACACACACACACACACACACACACAGAGGCCTGTTCTTGGGGAAGTGGTAAGAACCCTAGCTGGAAAGCAGGAGGCTTGGATATTTAGTCTGCCCAAAATCTCACGATCTGACCGTCAGAATGTTTCTTAACTGCTGAAGATTTTTTTTTCCCAGCAGAAAAATGGGTCTCACTCTGGAGGAAAATGAATCCCTGGGCAGTGCTCCCACAGCCCCAAGTTTTTTCCACCAGCCTGAGATGAGGGATTCCCTCTCAACATCTCATTCAGCCAAGTGGCTTTTTTATTTATTTACTTATTTACATACATATATATTTTGAGACAGAGTTTCTCTGTGTCATTCAGGCTGGAGTGCAATGGCACAATCTCAGCTCACTGCAACCTCTGCCTCCTGGGTTCAAGCAATTCTCTTGCCTCAGCCTCCTTAGTAGGTGAGATTACAGGCTCGTGCCAGCATGCCTGGCTAATTTTTGTATTTTTAGTAAAGTCAGGATTTCTCCATGTTGGTCAGGCTGGTCTCGAATGCCTGACCTCATGATCTGCCTGCCTTGGCCTCCCAAAATGCTGGGATTACAGGCATGAGCCACTGTGCCCTGCCAGCTTTTTTATTTTTATTTTTGAGATGGAGTCTTGCTCTGTCACCCAGGCTGGAGTGCAGTGGCACATTCTTGGCTCACTGCAACCTCTGCCTCCTGGGTTCAAGTGATTCACCTGCCTCAGCCTCTCAAGTAGCTGGGATTACAGGCATCTGCCACCACGTCTGACAATTTTTTGTATTTTCAGTAGAGATGGGGTTTCACCATGTTGACCACTCTGGTCTTGAACACCTGACTTCAAGTGATCTGCCTGCCTCAGCCTCCCAAAGTCCTGGGATTACAGGCATGAGCCACTGTGCCTGGCAGTCACATGGCTTTAAATGCCACCCATGTGCTAAGGAAGCTCAAATGTCTCCCTTCTGCCCTGCAGTCTCCCCTGAGCCCTGGACTCAGACATACAGCTGCTCCCTTGAGGACCCCACGTGGATGTCTCATGGCCACTTGAGCTTATCAAGGGCCAAAGAGATCTGGTCACCCCCCAACAAAACCTGCCTACCCTGTAGCTCCTCCATCTCTCCCTTCTACTCCTGCAGATCCCAAAGCCTGGAGTTGTCCTTGACTTCTCTCTAGCCTTCATGCCCACACCTGTCAGTTCCATCTTCAACATCACCCAATGTTCGTCTGCGTCTCTCCACTTCCACAACCTACACCGCCGCGCGTGTCTGGATGAGTGAAGTCACATCCTGGGTCTCCCGGAGTCCACCCTCACCTCCGAAGACTGTTCCTCACTCCGCCACCAGAGGGCGCCTGTGAACACCTGGGCCGAGCA